ACATTTCAAGTATACTGTGAAAATGTATTATAAATATTTTTATATTTAATAATATCTTTATTAATTAAATTATTTATTATTTTTTTCAAATAATAAATAGATATCAAAGTATGTTCAATTGTAAATAAATAAAATTAAATTATAATGTATTATTTAACTAATTTTTAATCTATCATTGATCCAAGAAGATTGAGAAACACTGTTTCAGAATATTCTGTATCAATAGTTCCCAATTTATAAATCATAATTTACAAAGGGGTTGCAAAATATTTTGTAAGAGTCACTATTATTATTTTTAAAAAGTTAATGACTTTTAAAACTTATTTATTTTAATATTCTATAGAATATCATATTCTTTTGCAATTCAAAAACAAAATCACTAATTGTTATATGGTGATAAAATCATATTAATATTTTTTATTTTCTTAACTTCATATGAGAGAAGAAATTACAATTATAACATTAAGAAAAGAAACAGTAATTGAAAAAAATTAGAAAAGATTATTTTTATATTCATTTATAAGGACACTATACTAAATCTAATATTATTATCATTAATAATTTTTATTTACTTGAAGTGACTCGATTTTATGGTAAATTATTTCCCAATGCAAATCCAGATAACATATATAAAATGAGAAAAAAAAATAATAATAAACACAGGGCATCGAACACAGAAATATAGAATACGCAGAAGGGCAAGTGTTATTAGTTTCGTTGGCGACGATGTTGTGGTGGAAAGGGTAATGGTAGTATTGATTGCAGCAGAACTTGACCGCGCAAACTCTCTATCTGTCCTCAATGAAATGACGTCCTTACATATGGAACCACGACGGACGAAACGACGATAAAAACTTGTGGATACCACACCTGGCCGACACCTGCCAATTGAAACGGTGATGATGACATCGACCCTTTGTACCTGCACATGGTTGCTGTTATCCTGCTGTGTTCTCATCATTCTCTCTATCGGTGAACACGATTTTTATCGTGGTAAGAATACATATCGTCCATTCGCCCGAATACACTTATCTTTTCGAGGGTAATGACACTATAGATGTATCATCGCTCTCCATCTAACCATAATCTTTTGTTTCTTTTCATTTCGTTTTTATCATTATTCTTATGTTTTTTGAATAAAATTCGCAAATACATTTTAAAGAATCTCGAAAAATCGAACCACATTGCACGAATATAATTGTCACAATATAATCATTTCATATTTCTTTATTTCTAATTTTATGAAAAATTAATCTTATTCTTGATTAATTTCTTATTTTTTAATTGTGATTGAATGAAAATGTTAAATTTCAAATTTTATGAAAAATGTTTAAGGTTCGAGTTTACATATGTTTGCGCGTACAATGTTACTGATGTTAAAGAGATGTTCTATTTCTTTTTAATTTACTTAAAATATAATTTGATTGAGTAATTTAGAAATTCATTTTCAAATGTATAATTTATTTAAAAGAAAGGAATTTAATTAAATGGTAAATGCGCGTGTAATTATTACAATATAAGTATATTATTATCTAGTTTTAAATTGAATAGAAATGAGATACATATATGTTTATCAAAGTTACAGTAACGTACATGTATACATATTAAGTAGTTTGTCTGTTGACCATAGGAAATTCCTATTCTGATATCGCCATAAAACAAACCAATAATAAGTGGATATTGTATAATTTGCCAATTTTATATTTGTAAAATTAATATATTATATTATTTTAGTGATAAAAAAATAATGTTGATTTCGTGAATATAAAAATATTTGAATCAATTTATTATAATAATAATTCCATATATCTAGTTTTTGAATCATTTAAAATATATATAAACATTATAAAATTATTGTATAATCTATTAGTAAATTTTTTTATATATTTTTCTATTTTTTTATTTTATAATTCATATTTATTAAACTATTATGATCTAAATATAATACTATTATGATCTATTATATATCTATTATGTCCATTATATAATTTGTTTTTTTATTGGTAAACTTTCTCATTGACTTAAAACTTTAATGAAAACGATCGTATTATGAAAGAATGCAGAAATAAAGAAAAATAATTAAATGAAAAAATCATAAAAAATAATAACTAGCTAAATATAATCTGAGAAATAAAACATAGAAGATAAGCAAGTAATAAAAGATAGAAAATAAGTAAGATAGAAGTAATAAAATAGAAAATAAAAAATTGAAAGAGAAAGTTTAGAAAAGAATTTTACTAATGGAAAAATCTAAATATTTAATATAAATATAAAATATAATCGAAAATATCGAGGATGAAAAAATCGAAAAGAAATAATCGATATTTTAGTTTTCTTTAATAAATGCGAGAAATTAAAAATTAGATATCAATTTCAAAGATGTAACAAATTGTTTAAAGAAAAATTAATTTTTAAACAGTTAAATATACAAGAATAATGTGAATATTTTTCAGATGATATTCCTGAATCTTCGAACATTGCGCTTAAGCAATTTTTGATTAAATATCTCGAGGGACAAAGAATGCATTATCCTTCATTGTTTGCGAGCCAAGCTTACAAGAAACATCATTTGAATTTATATCGCCAAAAAAAGGAATTTTTGGAAGCTTTGATCAATAAAAGAAATTTGGCTGAAATTCTAAGAAAAGAAAAACCGAAAAAATGGAATTATCGGAAAATAAAATACAACGAGCCGATCAACGAATTAGCGCAAGAGAGGGAACATTATTCTCCGCTTTA